GTTCTTCTTTGGATAAAAGACGATCGTATTTAAATGCTACTACACTGATTGGTGAACTTTTGGGAAATGCTCAATAAAAAAAAAGCTTCTCATCGGTGTGTCTATAGAGACACTAAGCTTTTTTTCCCCCAAGAATTATGCATAGTCTACTTCAAGCCTAGAAACTTTTAAGTACCTGTGGCCTATATGTATATTACTCAGGTTTCATCTAGATCAAGGTTTAAGACATTAAAATGATCTGTCAGGATGAAACTATACCCAAAGAACTCTTGTGTGTGATTGGCTTTGCTGACATCTGCTTTGCATTTTGATACTCTGTTGTGCCAGGTCTGGCTTGTTAAACGACATAGGCAGAAATCAGGCTCTGCTGTTCTCAGAAATGTAGAAATACAGGCTCCATGCCCATTGTGCCATCAATTTGTAGCTTTTGCTATACCTGTTCTTGATGTCTTAACACCTGGAATTCCTGCCTTGGAAATTTCCTAACTTTTCTCTCAACAACTTTTTATTTTTGACAGAATCTTGGCTAGTTTTTAATCTTCTAGAGATTTTTGTTTTAAGTTAATTATTTTAGGCCATTTGGTCAGTAATTTGGAAACTTTCCTTTCTTGTTCCTTCGTTTTGATCTTTGTTTTTTTTTTTAAGATTTTATTCATTTATTTGACAGACAGAGATCACAAGTAGGCAGAGAGGCAGGCAGAGAGAGAGGAGTAAGCAGGCTCCCTGCTGAGCAGAGAGCCCGACGTGGGGCTTTAATCCACTGAGCCACCCAGGTGCCCAGATCTTTTTTTTTTTTTTTTTTAATGATTTTATTTATTTGAAAGAAGAGAGGGAACAAGAGCAGGGGGAAGGGGAGAAGCAGCCACCATGGGACTCTGTCCCAGGACTCTGGGATCATAACCTAAGCTGAAGGCAGATGCTTAACTGACTGAGACACCCAGGTGCCCCTGTTTTGATTTTTAATCGCACATTTCACATTTATCTCATTCCCCACCCTACCCTACCCCCATCCCCAAACCCCTATGAGGAAGAGCTTTCCCTGGTATTTTTTTTACTCCTTTCATTTTTGTCTTTCAGCAGCCATACTAGATAGGATAGGCTTTTTCATACTTTCCTTTAAAGTAATACACTTCATCGTACTTGAATTCTGGGGCTTAGAGGTTGCTCCACACATTACGTAGTGGGGCTGCAGGTTGTTGCTGTGCTCAGGTAGAGAAGCAAGGGAAGATGTTATCTGATTTTGCTCATAAACAGGGTTGGGGGGAGGAGTATGGCCTCTTTTTCTCTACACATGCCAAGCATAGAGGTCAAGCCCTCGTTCTTAAAAATGCTGAAAAATCACATCCTGAGGAATGAACAGAAAGATATATTTCCCTCTTTTCTGGAGGCCCCCGGGAAGATTTCATGTTGCTTTTCCATTTTAGGTATGGTCCTCTCTCAACAAATATGCTTTGCATACATCAATCTTTGATTTTTCAGTGTTAGGGAAAATATAAACCAGGTTTTTCTGGAAGGTGCAATTTAGAAAAGGACACTGCACAAGTATTCATCTGTAAAGAAAGGAAAGAGGAAAAGAACTAATGCCTGTACATTTTTTTTTCATTTGATCCTAACCACTCTGCAGAATAGTTAATACCTCAGTTGATCATAGGAAAAAGGTGAAGCTCAGAAAGGTTAAGAAACTTGCTTAAGGACACACAGCTAGAAAGGGGCAAAGCCAAGATCAAAACTCAAGGGTATTATAACTGAAAGAAAACTGTTCTTTTCCTACAGCATTACCCTGTCTTGCAATTAACTGGCTGAGTTGCAGTATCCCTGTAAAATCTGTTGTGGTTTTATTATTATAATCAAAGGCAAAAAGTAATGGTGGTTTAATCAATGAAGTGCATGAAGACCTATTCAGAAAAAATTACTATCTTGGTGTGGGACCTCTTGGGGTGTCATGCTTCATCCTTATGTTCAATGGGGAAAAAACCCTAAATAGATATACTTCATTCAATAATTTTGAAGTTCTGTGTAAGTAAAAATATGTAAATTGACTGTTTTTAATTTATTTAGGGAGTTTCTTATTCAAAGGATCTTAAATTGCATTTTTAAGAGCCAAAGTTTCCTTTCTTATTTTTATTTTTGGTTTTGCCCCTGGCATATCAGGTATCATTTAAGAAGGCTATCCCCGTGAGGTTGCATGATCATTAACTCCTTTGTAACGTTTCCAACATGTATTTGAATATTGTGGTATTTCAGTGTTTCCCAAACTTTAATTATTTGCATGCACTTTCATGGTCTTCATTATCTGTGTTCCACCTGTACTCTTATTCACTTACTATTTTTCTTTAAGTGATGCATTTTGCTCAAGTAGATGTATTTTTAAAAGAAATTTTTGTATCATTCCCCTAAGTGTGAAATCAGAATAATTCAAAATTAATAGCAATCAACAGCAAACCATTATTGAATTCTAGATAGATAGTATCATTTGTTGAAGACTTCCATCTGAGAAGGATCAGAAAGCATTCAGGAGTGTGGAAGACCCTGTTACACGACTAAAGCTTTAAAGATTATCTTTGTAATCACCAGGATTGAAAGAGTTGAAAGGGGTTAATGAGTGAATTGACAAAGTAAGTCAATGTTATTCAATGTTGTTTCTCTGTACCATCAAGAAATTGTCTCTTTTACTACCCACAGCGTATTGTAACCTCATATCATTTCCAAAGTGAGCTCAGAAACTAGTCATTAAAGCACAGAAGGCTTTAAAACATTGATCTCTGAGAAAGTGAACGGTACTGCTCTCTCTTGACCTGGCCAAATAAATCAACTTGGTTTGTTTCCAGGCTAAGGAGGAAACGATGGACAATCGAAGCTACTTGAATCTGCCAGAAAAGCTGCCTGCCTTCTCTGATTCTGCCCACTTGCCACTGACCAGGTCCTTCTATCTGGACCCCATGGTCACTTTCCACCTGTATCCTGATGCCCCAGTGCCATCCCCTTACTCTGAAGACCTGCCATTGCTGTCTTTTCCCAGTGATTCCCTGATCATGGAAAATTATGGTGAACCCTGCCCCTTCTCCTTCCCAGTGCCTTATCCAAATTACAGAAGGTGTGAATACTCCTATGGGCCGGCCTTTATCCGGAAAAGGAATGAGCGGGAAAGGCAGCGGGTAAAGTGTGTCAATGAAGGCTATGCCCAGCTCCGACATCATCTGCCAGAGGAGTACTTGGAGAAACGACTCAGCAAAGTGGAAACCCTCAGAGCTGCTATCAAGTATATTAATTACCTGCAGTCTCTTCTGTATCCTGATAAGGCGGAGACAAAGAATAACCCGGGGAAAGTTTCCTCCATAATGGCAGTCACCAGCCGCCACCCTGACCCCATTTTTAGAATCATTTGATTCAGTGTTTCTGAATAGAAACAAATAATTTCACAAAATGGAGTCTCTTACAGCATCATTCAGTAGTTTTTCTTAAGTGTAATTTCTGCATAGGGAGATTAACAGCTCAAATGTCCACCTGTGCTGGGTATTTCCTGCCAGAGTTTCAGATGTACTAAACATGATCTTATGTTTATTGAAGAGATGTGTCTTAAGCTTTGGTGATTTCTTTCAAGAACTTTAGAGGGGCAGGAGTCCCCAGGATTCTCTATACCCCTCACCTTGCCCTTCTCACACACTTGGCCAGAGTCTCAGCTGTGAGAAACCCTCACAAGAGTATTGTAAGATCTGACCAGTGAGTAATCAATGCTTGCAATGCCCTTTGCAAACACTTCGTGCTAAGTGATCACAATGAACCGCCCTTGATTTGTCATAGTCTGGTAGTTTTTATTATTATAATTTGGGGTTGACAAGAGATATCTACATCTATACCCTATCCACATCATGATGGGAAATGTCCCAGGGCTGAAGCAAAGGTAGCTAACAAAATCTTGTTGTCATTTGAAATTATTCTGGAGTCCTCTTTTTCCTGCAGGCAGACTTCTTCACAGCAGCTTAATCTGGGGGTTAAGAGGCTGTGCAGTCATGAGAATCAAACTGCCTCAGTTTAAACTATGACTCTGGTCCCTCCTCTCCATGTCTCAGTTCTTCATCCACAGAACGAGAATAATAATAACAGCAACTATTCCCCCCTATGTTTATTAGAAGAATTAACACTGCCTGATACATAAGTATTCCTAACCATTTATTATTATTATTAATCTTGTATTATTCATAACATCACCATTCTATAAGTTCTTCTGGCCAGAAAATGTGCAGGGGCCACACCTGTCCTTCACCCTCTGAAGGACCCTCACTGCCCCATATCTTGAAGTCTTCCTTCAAAATGTCTCTATTTCCATTCCCATGACTAGTGTCAGCTCTTCCTTCTCCCTTAACTCCCAGGTCCCGTCGGTCGCCAAGCCCAGTCAGGACATCCCATACACTGGCACATTCATCTCCACTATCATCTCTGTGAAGTCTTCCCATTCCAGCCATTACTTGTTCCTTTATTTTTTGTATACATATTTCCTCACAGTTCCTATCCTACTATCTTTACACACTGTCTCACACACCTATCTCTTTGTAGACAGGGACTAGTCTTATTCCTCCTATATTCCTTGCACCCAGCAAAGAGCCTCAAATCAGGTAGATGTTGTGGGTAAATATTTGGTGTTCCTATTTTCCTATTCCAGTCCTGTCACGGTTTATCTGGGTCACATCTGTCTGCACAGGATGGAGGCAGATCACTAGCCCTTAGTTTCTGTAGGGGCAGCAGCCTCCCTCACAGGACTCCCCTGGGATTCATGAGGGCTTCCCACCTCTTCCAGCAGTGGGGAAGCCTGAGCTTTGGGGAATTGAAGCTGCGAGGACCCTTCTCTCCAGTGCTCCCAATTCGCCTTTCCCGGGAGAAAGCCTCTGCCCCCTTGCCCCGCCCATGCCTCCCAAGCCCCACCCCCTCTCTCTGCACATGCTCAGTACATTCAGTGCGCTGAGTTCCCGCTGGCTCGAAGCCATGGCAACCTGCTTGGCAACCTAGAGTCAGTTGGGCTGAGACCCTGGGCCAACTGTCAGAAGGGGAAGGCTGAGGTGGAAGAGTTTGGGGCTGTGGTAAGTCCCTTCGGGGTCAGACCTGGGGACTTGGGCAGGGGCGGACCCTAACAGAGCTCTGGTAGGCTGGGGTAGTGGAGTCAGGTGTGTGGAGGACACGACCCTGGGGTCTCAGCTGGGGCTAGAGTTACTCCTGGAGGTCACTGGATTAGAAAGAGTGGCTGGGGCTTAGATCAGGGGTTAGGCCAGCCATATTTGTGAAGGGAAGTACTGTTTTATCCCTGGGAGTCCCTAAAACTGGGGAGGAGGAAAAAACTAACGTATATTGAGCCACTGCTCAGCCAGGTGCTTTCCACTGAAGTGCGTGGTGACGTGAGCACGCAGCCGCAGACTGTGACGGATTTAGAGCTGGGTTTCTCTAAAGTCACAACACTTGTTCTTTCAACCCCTCCCCTACCTCCTGAGCAGGTGATTCAGAGAACAGCCTGAGCTGGAGCACGTGGGCTCGGCTAACCCCAGCAAGGAGCCCTGCACCAGCCAGGCCCTCTCTGCTGGGCTGCGGGCTGCAACTCGGGCCATGGTGGTGCTCATTCTCACCAGGTTTCTCCTCCGAAGGCCATGGAATCCTCTGCAGGGCCTGGGACGCCTTTGCCCAAATACTGCAGTGTGGCGAGGACCCTGAAGTCCCCTTCCTGGACTGGCCCTGCCCCTCCCTGGGGACTCTCCTTCACCTGCCCCTTTGCCATTTGGCACAACCCACTCTCCAGGTACTAGTCTCCGCCCCTCTGGCAGCAATGATGTGCACCCCTCTGCACCCCTCTTCCTCTCTCTGCTTGGCTTTCCATGGTGGGCCATGAGGGAGACAACTTGCTTCCTGGGAAGGCTGAAAGGGTTCTTCACGGTGTGGGCTACGATTTGCTTGTGGTATTCTATCACTCCTGTCTAAACTGTGCTCCTTGTAGCCCCGGTAGCAAGGCGGCAGATGTCGGAGTTGGCATATGCAGAGAATGCAGGCATCACCAGTTAAAGAGCCTCTAGCTCATTTTACCGTCAACTACAAGCCTACCCTGGCACCATGTGAGAAATTAAGGTTTCTGCAACCAAGAGCTGAGGCAAGGTCTCCGGGTGCTCCTCAGGTTCCCTCAGTAACCCTCAGGGATCCTGGCCTTTCCTGAATTAAATCGTTGGTGGGCTGTCTAAAGTGTGATTGCAGAAGGGAGAGGAAGCTCAGCCCTCAGTCATAACACAAGTGATGTCAGTTCCAGAGACTCGCTTGTGTCCATGCCACTCAATTCCGTCTGCCCAGGTTAGGGACATTCCGGCTTCAACCCTTAAGAGGCTGCCTTCTGGATTCACCTATGTGGACCATCTTGTTCAAAGCCAGAGTTCATCATCCCTGCCCCTTCAGGGCTGCCTACAAAGTAAACAGCTTCTTCAGAAACCCAAACCCTGACTCAGTAGTCCTCCCTCACCCCTGCACCTCCCGGTTTGGCCCTGTCCACAAACCTCTCCAGGAACAGCTTGTCCTTCTTCCTGTCTCTCAGCCCCTCGGCCAGCTCCTCTGTGCTTTCCCTGCTCAAACACTTCCTCCTCCCTTCTGACCCCATAGCACCAAGCATCCTTCCTGTGTTACTCCTTTCGTACTACCATCCAAATATGCATACCTCATCCTGGATTCCCATGCAGTGCCTTTGGATATCCCTCCCCAGTGCTCTTTCCTGGTCTGCTGTTCAGTCTCAGAACCAGCATTAATTCACTTGAACATATCCAGGCTAATCACATTTTGATGACCTTGAAACAGTTCTCAATCCCCAAATGATAGTTCCCTTCACTGTCCTCTCCTTCTGCCCCTTCCAGCAGTTTATCTTTTCTTACTGGTGGTCACAGATCGCCAGCAACTGTCTACGTGGATTTGTTTCACATGATCCTCTATGTCATATGCACATGGTAGTGCTGCTTAGATCTGCGAGATGCATTTCTTGATGTTTTTAGGGCTTGGTCTTCTCCACCTCCCTAATTCCATTTGCTTTTTCCCAGATATGTGTCTTACCACCCATGTCTCCACATTGCTGACTCAGCATGGCAGGGGCCTGGCTGGTTGAGAAGAGTGGGAAATGCTGCTGACACATGGGTCCTGGCAAGAAGGGGACCAGATGGCTTTTATTACCGGGCTCAGATAAAGACTGCTCCAGAGGCAAGTTCTCACATCTCCTGGCACACTCCTCAGGGTGGCTCTGTCAGACCTGCCTAGGCCTCAACGGTGTGTGCCCAGTAGGATAGTTTCTTGGATAAGTGCACATCTTTCACGGCCAGGTTCTAGAAGGGCAATGTAATGATGTATGAGTGTTTTAATGAATGTATTAATTTGCTAGGGCTGTGTAGCAGGGTAGCACAAATGGGGTGACTTAAAGAACAGAAATGTATTATCTCTCAGTTCTGGGGACTGAAGTCCAGGTGTTGGCACCGTTGGTTCTTCTGAGGGCCGTGAGGGAGAATCTGCTCTACATGCCTTTTCTAACTAACTTCCTGTGGCTTGTTGACCATCTTTGGTGTTCCTTGGCTTATAGAATCATCACCCCAATCTTTGCCCCACCTTCATACAGTGTCTTCCCTCTGTGCATGTCTGTGTCCAAAGTTCCCCTTTTATAGGAACATCAGTCATTGGATTCGTCTCCCACCCTACTCAACCAAGTATGACCTTATCTTAACTAATTATATCTGCAGTGATCCTATTTCCAAATAAGGTCACAACCTGAGGTACTAGGGGTTAGGGTTCTAACGGATGCATTTGATTGGGGGGGATACAACTGAACTTGTGACAGTGCAGAAAATTGAAAGGAAAAAGTGCTCTGTTCAGGAAAATTCAGTGTGTTGTGTGATGGGCACCAGCCAAAGTGAAGGAGAAACAAAACATGCCCACATGCATGTCTCTGTGCCTGTACCCACAGAAGCCTGGTCCCCCACAGGCCTGTGCTTTACTTCCGTGGCTGCTTCCTTCTTTGGGGTTTTTCTCTTCTCAGAGTCAGACTTTGTGACTGTGGATTCATGGAGGGAAGACTAGTGTGACTTCCAAAAAATGAATTATAGAATTTCCATTCAAAAGTCAATTTGTTGTTTTCAAGGAACTAATATATGAATCCAAATGACATATTAGGGTTTTGCTCAAATAATAGACTGCTGAGTGATTAATTTGTAACCAGATTTTCTCTTCCAAATCATACTGAGTTCTCGAAACAGCTTATACTTCAATTAGCTTAAAGGCTTCTCCTGCACTCTCTTTTACAATGTTCATTTGCTTTGCCAAACCTCTCCTCATTGCTGTAATGGCAGTGCCGAGGGCTGTTCTCACGTTAGGCCACAGCTGCTTGTTGCTTGTGCGGGCCTGTGAGTGAACACACTATCCTGGGTTCATCTTGGACACAGGGACAACACTTTTCAGAAGGGCTGGGAGGAGGGGGGAGTACACCGGAGAAAGATCCAAGGGACCCAGGTTGTCCCTGGGAACTGCAAGCCAAATATATAGAGGAACACAGAAAAACAGGAAGAGGAGGAGAATGGGAAAGGAATGGTGGGAAGTGAAACCCAAGAGTTGCCCGTGGCAAAAAGAGGTAGAGGGAAGAGCATCCACACTACAGCTTGCCTGTTTCGGCCACAATCAGGTCCAAGAGCATCTGTCCCTGTCCCTTCTCTAGATGGCCCTCACTGTTTGTAAGGAAGGCCCTGGGCCTGCCTCTAGAGCATTGTGGGGAATCGCGGTGCTCCGCACGCCGGTTCTTATTGTGTTTTCTTTTCCACAGTTGGAGAGATGGGGGGCCCTGGTGGTGGAATTCGAGGTTCCCCTCATCACAGACCCAAAGCTGCCAGCCCAGCGGCAGAACGTGGTCTTAGAAGATGATGTCATTCAGTTCTTGCCATCCGTGGAATGCTCGCTGCGACCTGGGGACAAGGTGCTTGCCCTCTGTGAGCCAGATGAACAGCGGTATGGCCCTGGCACCGTTCTCTTGGCCTCGGAGGCAGGAGACCCCCAGAGAGGTAAGGGGAGTTGATGTGGCCTAGCGGTCCCCAGGGGGGAGCCAGGCTGGTAGAAGAGAGCAAAAACTGTCTTAAAGGTGAGCTGGGCCTCTTAAAGGTGTCAAAAAAAAAAAAAAAAAAAAAAATCCTTACCCCTTCACCTGTACCTTAATCCTGGGTATGGCAGCAGACAGGCAAATTCTATCTTTCAGATTATTCAACACCTTCCATCAGGGCAAAATCGCCTAAAACTATGATGTCTTCTGTGGGTTAGCTAACCTCTGGTGTGACCAGGTTAAACTGGGGCCGCAATGGTACTCATGACTAGCCCCCCCATCAAGTTATCCACGGACTGGGGCAGGCCCCTTCTGCAAGGCCAGTCAGCAGAATGACAGGAGGAGGCATGTCCTCTTTCCCCATGAAAATCGAGACCGGGAGGTGCATGCCAGTGCACGGGAAGTGGCAGTAACTAGGGAGCAGGTGAGGGAGTGTTCCTGGCAGGCTGTCCACAGAAAGCTGCACTGGAGGAGGCTAGCAGAGCAGGGGGCCGCACTGAGGTTTGCTCTGGGGGCTAGGAGCACGCTTTCCCCATGATCTAGAAGCGGTAATTTTAACAAAATGTTGCTCTGTTATATAGCATCAAAAGGAGAAATTACTGTTCACTTCTGGAATGGCAAGACAGCTACTGTGCCTCGAGGCGGGGTCAGGTGGGTGCCCCCGGCTGTCTGGAAGAAGGCTGTGGAGAGGCTGCACAAGCCTTTCACCAAGGGGCGCCCCAGCACCCTTCTCTGGGCCCCTTGCTGCTCTCTGCTGGGACCAGCCACGGGGTGTGTCACCAACGGGCTTTTTCTGGGCACTCCATCCCTGTGTCTTCCCTGCGTCCCCCAGGCCTGCTGCCAACTGCTATGCCAGGGCTGCCTCTGCTCTTGCCCCTTGGCTGGACCTACCTGGTGGCCTCTAGCCAGGGCCTCGGGGGTCACAGCCAAAGAACATCCAGAGGTGGAACTGAAGCCCATGGCACAGCATTTGCCCCTAGACAGTCCCAGAGAAGAGGAAGGAGCAGTGCAAGCTCCCCTGGGTGTTTCTTCTTCTTCCTCTTCCTCTGAAGAGGATTTGGAGAATGATCTGCAGATGGGCCTCCCCCAGAGGCTGACAGTGGACAGCACAGTCAACACAGACCCCATCCTTCTTGAGAAGTCTCCGAGGAGAAAAGGTGGCCTCTGCCAGCCCGAGTGGAGGTACTGGAGGAGAAACAGGTCTGAGTCGCATCCTGGGAAGCCAGGTATACCTTCTTGTAAGGCAGGGCTGAGGGCCCTGCTCCCTTCCCTCCCATGTCTCTTAGGAATCTCATGCACATGTCACTGTACTGGGATTGAAAGTAACAATTAGGAGTGTGGCCATGTTGAAGGGGAAGCTGTGATAAAAAGGAAATAGTAGGTTTCCATCTAAGCAATAGAACCCAATAGGAGAGGATGGGCTGATCTTTGTGAGAAGGTTTGCATCCCTGTTTAACAACTCTTCCTTCTTCACTAGTCTCTGTTGACAGGGCGCTGCCATTGTCTGTTTTTGCCTGCTAAGCGCAACTCCCCAACCCCCCCGCCCGCCTTTTTTTCTTGGAGCCCTTGACTTTTCTCTAGATGAATAGTCAAAATGTCTCCTGGTGTTGATTAGTTTTCAATGCCCTGAGAGGCACAGAAATTAAGTTCATTGGTTGGTAGGCCCTACTCTCCAATGGTCCCGAGTAAATCTAAGTGGGAAGAGGTAGGGCCCTGCATCATGCTGCTTATTCCTTAAAGAAGGGGAGGCGGTGTTACTGTCAATCCACAGCCATCCCCATCTTCACCTTGAGCTAAGAACCACAAGATGCCCTCATAGGTTTAGAAGCCGTTATCACCGACATGCCTCATGCCTGTCCTATCTAAATTCCCAGCAAGGCCCAGAAAGAGCAGAAGCCCAAGTTGGCAGGCAGAGGGGGTTGGGATAAGCCCAGCCCTAGACTAGTTTCCTGGGACCCTGGGGTCACTAACTGAACATTGAACTAAATGAACATTCAGTCTAGGGCAGGGAGGCTGCGTGGTTAAAGAGTACCATGGCTAAGGGCTTAAAGATCCCCAGACACCACCCACATTGGGACCCACTGTGGGTCCCTGTTTGAAGCCACTGACTGCCCTGTTTCCAGGACAGCTGTTCAGCAGACAGGGCAGACCTCTTAGCCCATGAGGATTTCACTCTTGGCCCAGGGCTAAGAACTTTGTTGGTCTTCATGTCCAGAAAGTGGAGAAACTGTTTCTACACTGAGACACTTTCTTGGTGACTCCTGACCCCTAGGCCTTGTAGGGGGTTGGAGGGAGAGACAGGTGGGAATGGATATAAGTTGGCAGCTGTTGTACTCTATGGGACAGTTCTAGACCTTCCTTGGCCTGCCCCAGGGAGAGAACCAGAGGAACAAGAAGCCAGTTGTGTGCAGCTGAGCTCCTCCTCCCGTCTCTGTGAGAGGAGACTTTGTATTGAAAATATAAAGCTGGGCAGCCTCTTCGGCTTCTGAGAGATGGGACACAGATCTCACAGTGAGAGGCTGTGAGATGTGCTGGCAGAAGCTACATGGAAATAACTGCTCCTCTCAGGAACATTTTCTAAAGAAAATGGTGCCCAAGCCTAGAGCTTTCATGCTAAATTTGCCATAGCTTCCGCTGCCTCCTGCCTTAGCAGACTGGAGAAAGCTGTACCTACCCCATAGACAGGAGTCTGTAGGGAGCAACAGAGAAGCCCAGCCTTAGGAGAGAACGCCAGTAGGGTAACCAGAGGGGCCATGGTAGTCACAAAGGCTTCAGGCACCAGCAGTGCGCTCTCTGTCCCCCACTACCTCTTCTTTGTAATCAGTGTGATTTAGAAGTTCCTTCAACAGGTGATAGTTGGCTACCTTTGCTTCTCCTACTGGCTGTTTTGAAAATCATGTGATACCTCCTCCCACCTAATTCCAAACGTGGTTATCAAATACAACCTATCCAAAATGCATAATGGCCAAAAATGACTCACAAACTTTCTCTTTAAAAATAGAGAGCAGTGGTAGGAACTTACAGATAGTTAGCTTCTGGGATCCTTGACATATTTCTACTTCAATCATCAGGCCTAATCCCGTGGTGGCACATGCAACATAACTCACTGAATCTGGGGTTTAGGAACAAGACATGGATCCATCTGGAGAGAAAAGAGGGACAACAAACCACCAAGGGTACAGAGTGTAGTGCTGGGGAATACGAAGGAGCTGGTCCTGGAAGCAAGCGGCATGAAGCCACCACAGATCGTGCCAGAGGACGGTGAACACAGAAAATGGCGTCAGGGAACAGTGACACAGCAAAAGGACCAGGACGCCCTCAGATTGAAAGCCCAGAGCAGCCAGGTAAAGCAGGATGGCTGGGAAGGGGCTGCTAAGGGCTCCTCATATGGTGGTTCTTAACCCCTTTTGAGAATGAGTACTCCCTATTATCTTCTCCCAGGAAAATGCAAATACCCACAATTTTGCATTCCGTTTCAGAAGGCTTACAGAACCCACAGACCTGATCACAGGCTCCTGAAGGAGGCAAGGATCTCATTTAAGTGACACTTGACCCTATGGTGATGGGCATGGGTCTGCCTGACTAGGCCCTCCATCCGTGGGAGTCTGTTCCTCACTAGGAACACTAACACAGCCCTACTTAAAACTTGGTTTTCATCATATAAAACACTGGCGTTTATCCTGAGGGAAGACTTGTCACGTTCAGAATGAGATGAACTACCAGGCAACCAAACTGGCCGATGCAGCCCTGCTACTGGCCTGGTAGCTTTGTCCAGGGCACATCATGGACTTTTTAAAATCAGCGACTTTTGAGCTTTAAAATTACAGTCAGCATCAGACTCTCAGGATTTTTTTCTTTTCTTCCAGGAAGGCAAAAGAGCAGTGGTGATAACTACCTGAGGAGGTGCTGCTAAGTGGCCACCAAGGGCAGAGCACAGGCCACACGTGACTGATGCAGGATAAGTGGTGTCCTCATGCACTAGATGTCACCGCAGATGGGTGGCACAAAGGCACCTGCGGGGTGGAGGGATGACGGGGGGGTGATGGGGGGGGCTTGGGGGACCTGCTTCAGAGCGCCTCTTCCACAGACACACCAGGGCGTGGCTTTGGGCAAATGTGTCCACAGCCTCTCTGCCGCCTTCTTGTAAACCTACAGCTCATAGATGAGCGACCCTGTTTCACCTCTTCATGCCAATAAAAAGGAACTCTTCATTTCCAAATCGCTCCCTTTATTATCATAATTAACCATCTGGAAAGTAAGCAGTTAAAAACTATTCAGATAGCATCATTACATTATGACTTTCAGCAGAAAGTGGGGGAGTAGGGGTACTTCTAGACATTCAGGTTAAAATAGGCACTGAGAGAGACAAACTCCAGGTCCCAGGAAGGCTGACCCTCTACAGTTCAGCCTTGAAAGCAGGATCACTGTGTAAATATGAAAAGAATCATACAGTGACTTTATTCTTCTTGCTGCTTAAAAAAAAGGTGATGTGATAGCCATGATGGTCCACATCATACTGGGAAGACCAAGTCCACACTCTGTCCTGAGTCAACTGCTACCACCTGAGTCTTGGTTAAGTCATTTGTGCCCACAGTGACAGAATAGGTCCCTGGATATACTTCTATGTAGAGGTCCTTAGAGGTGTTCTCAGCCTGCAAGGAAACAGGTATTAGCTGTTGAGAGACTATAGGTCACAACGCTACCAGGCCACCTTTGTGTGCCAGCGGCGCAGTGGGATGAAGCCCTGGGCTGGGAGACAGAGGTCTTGCTTTCAAGGCTCAGTCTGGCCACACAATAGGAATGCCAGGTAAGCCTCAGCCTCTCCTTGTGCTTGTTTCCTTATTTCTAAAGCTGTGGTAATACCTACATCACAAATAAGTACGTACATGAAAACACCTGGCAAGTGTCAGAATGCTATACGAACATGAAGGGTCATAAAGGGGACACGCCTAATCATGGTAGAAAGAGAATTAGGTAGAAGGAAAGGCGAATGGTCATTGCTTTGGCGAGCGAAAGTGGCATTTGTTAGTACAGATCAGCAGTAACGACAAGGCACCAAGGAATGATGAGAATTTTTCTTTTTAACTGTGTTTGGTTTGCTAAATTCATGATGAGGAAGATGAAATATTCTTTTCTGCAAAAGCTGAGCACACGTGTGGATTCCAAGTCGTCATGCAGCAAGTCAGCTGCCTGGCCAAAGCCCTCCCCTGGAGGACTGGTTCTCCTATAGCTATAGTACAAAACACTGAAAGCTAGAGTTAATGGAAAGATAGGTGTTGAAAGCAGTGCTGAGCACAGACTGTCTTCCAAAGACAGACTTGACACATGGCTGGGAAGTGGGCAGAACTGTTGGCAGAGGAGGAGTCTCAGTTCAAACAGCAGACAGCAAAGTTGCAAACCAGAAAAGAGCCTGTAATTAAGAGCCAAAGTTGCTATCCCACAGCTGGGAAACCCCCACCCCTCCTGCCCTACCCACCACGGACTTCATGCTCAGAAGAAGCCACAGGCAGCAGCTGTCCTCTCTGCCACCACACCCAAGGGAAAACAACAAATTACTGGCCAGCAAACTCCACCAGGAGGAATAAATGGTGATATTTACACTTTTATGAAACTTTCTCCCCACCCACCTTGCATAGATTTACAGCCAACTTTTTCCAAAGCCATTTTACATTCTATCCTTTCATATCCAGTTATTGCAAAGTTGGTGGTCTTATCATTCAACTGACATGAATGTAAATGACTACGCCACAACTATTTGTTGGTCTTCAACTATGTAAGTACACAAAAGTCGATTTCAGAAAGTACAGCCATATCAGAATTGCAGAAAGCCGGGAATATCTCATTTATCTGCATAAAAGGAAACATGGGGGAGGAGACTGACATCTTGATTCCAAAACCACGAGTATCAGGAAGATTAGCATTACCAAAATCCAGCAAGTATGGGAAGCATCTTAATCTAACTTATATTTGTACAAGAAGCAGAACATTCTTAGTTGTTACTAACTCCAGTATATTCTGAGTCCTGGCTAGTAGCGCACTGTATACAAACAAAGATTAAGTAAACTATTCCAGCAACATGCTGGAGTTCCTTTCCTCCAAATTCCAGCCCTTCCAAGTTCCAAAAAATTCCCTGGGTTCATGAACTCATGAGTACTTCCTTATACTAAAAATGAAAAACTCATCACTGTGTTTTTAACAGAGAAGCATTTGTGGAAAATAAGGACAAATCCCTTCAAATGTTCTGGAACTCGATCTAACCAAATTTCTATGTTTCAGAATTTCAGCAATGATTTTCACTTTGTAAGCAGGAGGGTCAGGCCCCTCCTGATGCTTGAACAGATGGTGGAATTCCAGCAGGACCCAGTGCCAGCCCAGCTGAGCTGGAGGAACTGCAACGTGAATACTTCACATTCTTTCCAACCACAACTATGAGTTCAAGCACAAAAAGTATCCCTTAAGCTTCAAGTGAAGGAAGGATAATGAGAAAACATAATTTTCCACTGAATCCAAATGCTATACTCTCTCCGCAAGAATGAAACATCCCAACTTAGAAATACTATGGATCTGGGACAAAGGACCCTGTAACTGGCTCAACTGGTTCATGCAATGGCACTGGCGGTGAAGCCCAGAACAACGAGGAGAGACCTCTACTCACAGGCTGGGACACCGCCAGAGCACACCCTGACACGTGAGAGATGCCTCCAAGACCGAGGGAGGTGTCTTTTCTCTGAAGAGACAAGCAGAAACATTGATTAGTGCCCAGACTTTGACTTCTGGATTGTAAAGAGAAACTTTCTTAGTTTATTAGGAACTAATAATTGTTCTGTCGGATTCTTGTAAGTTGTTTCTTAACTGTTAAAAGACTTTGAGTGAATTCTGTGAGGTATTTGTAGTCAGATGTTTACTGTGATTACTTTTTGTATTTCCATGGGATGTGGAGTCAGACCTGAATTTGAATCCTATCTCCTGCTTTACTGAAAAGGGCAGATGAAGTTCTCTAAGCCTTAGTTTCCTAGTCTACAACATGGGGTTACTAGATTGGAGATTTAAAGTTCAAGAGTGACTGACACTTAACAGGCTCTCAGAAAATAGAATTATCTTCTGTGCTTCTCCCAGGAGTCCAGGTACTAGCAGGGAAAGGCAGAATTTCCTCTAGAGGCACCAACTTACATTTTACAGGAAGGAATGGGAGGGACAGGAATGACTCTTGCCCACATGTAACCCCCTTAGGGTCAGGCCAGAAAAGAAACCCAGGCTTTGGGCTTTGGCATTGTTCCACATGTCCCAGGCCAAGGAAAGAGGAGGGAACTTCCAGTGTGCATCGAGCCCTCACTCACAACCCTGGGGTCACTATCCCATCCTTTCCCTAAATCCATAGGCCAGAGAAGTCAAGAATCCAACTTGTGGATTAGACTCTGAATGTAAGTTTGCTTTCTTTGAGTATAACTAGGGGATGTTTAAAAAGAAAAAAATAAAACAATGTAACATGCCTAATCTCTTCAAAAACAACAATGAATTCCTAGTGCATCATTTCAACAAGTAGAATCTTGGGCTTCCCCAGAACATGTGGTAAAAGGTAAGTTTGTAGGGAGAGGCCTGTAATTATTCATTACTAATACTAATAGCTTATTTCCTAATGCTCTAGGAAAATAATTCTTTAAAAGAGAGGGAGGGGGAGCTGAGGACACAGCACAGAGAGCTGAGGATACGTACGTGACTGTTCCCCCTGTCCCAGCAGCAGTGCAGCTTGGACTTCCCTCTGTGATAACGAGAGACGTGGGCCGCCCCTCCTTCCTCCAGCACAGATGAATAGTAGCTCTACAGAAGTAACGTGAAAGATGTCGGGTAAGCAAATAGTCTGGTCAAATTAAAAACAACAACAACAACAACTTCCATGGGCAGGGATGTGGAGAAAGGAGAACTCTCCTACACTGTCAGTGGGAACACAAGCTGGTGTAGCCACTCTGGAAAACAGTATGGAGGTTCCTCAAAAAGTTGAAAATAGAGCTAACCTATGACCCAGCAATTGTACTACTGGGTATTTACCCCAGAGATACAATGTAGTGATCCAAAGGGGCCCCCTTGAGGACCCCAGCAATGTCCACAATAGCCAAACTATGGAAAGAGCCTAGATGTCCTTTGTCTGATGAATGGATAAAGAAGATGTGGTATATATATACAATGGAATACTATGCAGCTATCAAAAAATGAAATCTTGCCATTTGCAAAGATGTGAATGGAACTAGAGGGTATTATGCTAAGTGAAATAAGTCAATCAGAGAAAGACAATTATCATATGATTTCACTGATATGAAGAATTTGAGAAACAAGACAGGATCATAGGGGAAAGGAGAGAAAAAATGAAACAAGATGAAACCAGAGAGAGCGACAAACCATAAGAGATTCTTAATTTCAGGAAACAAACTGAAGGTTGCTGGAAGGAAGGAGAGTGGAAGGAATGGAGTGGCTGGGTGATGGACATTAGGGAGGATATATGCTACAGTGATTGCTGTGAATTATGTAAGACTGATGAATCACAGACCTGTACCTCTGAAACAAATAATATATGTTAATTAAAAAAACAAAGCTCCATGACTCGGGGTAAGTATGATTAAGGAGGGAGGCAACATAGCAAAGGTAAATTACCTGTTCCCTTAACAGACCTCTGAAGTCATCGAACAAATCTTAGCCCCTGTGAAGTGGCTGCAGAGACTGCATTTGGCATGACTTTGCTGCCATCTGCTGCCTTTGTAGGGCAAGAACTCTGGCCAGCTATGGTTGGGCAGAACCAGGCTCTCTGCCAGGTTAAATAATTTTCACAACGTCTTTGCTCCAATGTCAAAGACATATGCCTTTTCAACTCCTCTCATCACAAGTTCTGATGAACTGTTCCACGGTTATTGTCTGAGTCTCAGACAATGACAA